GCATTGTGAAATTAATAGCAACTCTCAGTGTTCTGTTATGAATAAACGTTTGATATTGTACTGTATATACCCAGAATTTTATAGGTAATTTTGCTGATAACAGACATGTATGTATACTGTTAAAGATAGTCTTATACATATGTTCTGCAACTCTGTTCTGCTGTGGTGTATTGTGTACTGTTAATCTACATATTGTTCCTTGACTTTCAATGTATATAGTGAAGTCTTTACTTAGGAACACTGTATTGTTATCACTTTGGAGAGTTTTTACTCTTATACTGTACTGTGTAAAGAGTTTCATTGTATGCTTTACATATTCAGTGAAAGCATTGCTTTTATACTGTATAGGTAGTATAGTTACCCATTGTGTAGCATCATCTACAATGGTAAAAAGATATTTGTACTTGCTGTAAGCTTGTACTGGGGCAGGTCCCCATATATCAATATGGAGATGATCTCCATAGGATTGTGTAAGAGGTGTTGTTTGTATTTTTGGTATTTCATTGCATTGTATGTTTGCTTTGATACAATCTGTACACTGTGCATTTTTATTGTCTGTTATCCTTTGACTTATAATCTCAGGATACTCTTGTATGAGTTTGTGCAAGTAATCAAAATTAACATGACTCATTCATTAATGTAAATCAACAATAGTGATTGTGTTAATAGATTGTTTATTATAATGAGAAACTATCATATACAAGTTATTTCATACATGTATTTCACCAATCTTTGTATGAGCAGGAGAATAAATAATACATTCATTGTTTGTTTTCGTTAAAACATATCCTGCTTTGTATAATAGTGCTTCACTAATGAGTGTGAAGTTCAGATTGGGATGATAGTATATGTTTTGTAGTGAAATTGTATTCACCTTTGTATACTCATTGGCTTTGTTTTGTAGTTTTATATTAAATGTCATTACTCTACTTTTGCTAAGTGAGAATGACAATTTATTCACAATTGTAACGTTTATTAGGGTCAAGTTCCAAACGTTTGTAAGACAGAACAAGTATGGAGTAGTGTGTACATTTGCACTGGAGTCCAATATATTAATACAATGTATTAGTTCAGTATCATTGTAATGTATTGTATTGATACATACGTTTGGATTGTAATTGAACTCTTCAATGACTTCTTTCACATTGTCAAATGAGTTCATGAAATTGTCTACTTGTATGACACCTTCTTCTTGTACTTTGAATACTGAAAATACATCAGATTCAGCAGATAGAGTGGATTGAACAGGTAAGCTGCTGGAACTTGATGCTGAGGCTTCTGCAATTGCAGACTCTAGCATTAGTGTTTCATTAACATCTTTAATGAATACTGTTTTGTTATTGTCTCTAATGAATACTGCTGCATTAAGTGCAGGTTGAGACAGCATAGTAGCAGTAGTAGAAGCAGTAGCTGTTTGCCTATGCTTTTTCTTTTGAGCTTCCATTGTTTTGCTTGTTAGAGGATTTTGGCAGTCTTTTGACATATGCCTGTACTTGTTGCAGTTGTAGCATTTAACTTTATTGTAAGGCTTTGTTTTGCCTTTAGCTACACTTTTGCCTTTTGTTTGTAGGCTGTCTTGTTCAGTATCTCGTTTCGTTTGAGAGTACTGAGAATGATACTCAGTATATGTGTTTCATAATTTGTGTATCAGCTTAGCTGGCATCAGAACATCTTTCTGAGCTGCTGTAACTGTTGGTAGTTGATTATAATGGGTAATCTGCCTGTCTAGCATTGTTGCTACCCATCTATACTCACAAGGAGTAGCAAGATTAATTGCTGAGATGTATGTATTGTTATTAGGGGCTTTATTATGTGCAGACAACTGCCTGTAGATTTGTTCAATGTTGTCTAATGTCTTATCAAACTGTGATACATGCCCTTTTACTGTAAACAACATGGATATGTCTACAGCATGTGTCATCATTGTTTGAACATTGTATTGTTCAGAAAGTGCCTTTATGAGACTTCTAACACTTGTATGTGTTGTGAAGTTTGTATAAATTGTATCAGTTATTGTTTTCATTATACAATGATACAAAACATTGCCTGTATGTATGCCAGCATCATTGGAGGAAGGGGGATTGTACTCTAGATGGTCTAAGAGCATCATGGTAGTGAGTGCACTGTGTATGTGCAAGCACCATATCTTGTATCCCTTTGCACCAGCCAACTTTTCTGTTCCCTCAAAGAACTTTGTAATGTCAGAGTCCTTCATTGTAGCATTAACAAAGGTATGCATTGTAGACAACATTGTAATGAGTTTGGGGGGAGAGGGAGGTCTTGGGCTTGGTGGTCTGGCAGGAGGCAAAGGCATTCTGTAAGAGCAAGTGTGTGGGGGCATTCAATGGGCACTAAGGCTCATAACCTTTTAACAAGCATAGCAGGAGTGCCCCAAGTACTCTCTCTTATTGAGACATCAAGCAAGTATCTACCTTATATACTACATAGTGAAGTCTGATAATCTGAGACATTCCAAGTGCAGTAATTCTACATAAGGCAATTGGGGATTTCCTAATCCAGAGTGCAATCTAATAGATACAGTCTTGTGTGTCTGGACACAGCAGATTTCAATGTAGCCTGGAGGATTAAAATGACAGAATTTGCAATTTTAATTTGTACACCCACTGGTAATTCTCAAAAAAATAACTAAAATAAACTACATGAAACTAACTACTAAATAATAGCTATGGTAGCTTTAAGCTCATGCAAAAAACAATTAAACAGAGTAAGAAATCACCTTTGCCTCAATACTTTAGGCCCTCTGCCTCCTCCTGTGCCAGAATCACACAGAACAAGGTCTACAGCCTGTTTGGCTGTGCTGAAAGAGTTGGAAGACACAAGAAAGAGCTTATAACACACAATGAAACTGCTCGAGTGTTGAGAAAAACTCACTTATGATTATTTACAGGTGATTAGTAACCTCCACAAGCATGTCACCAAAAGCAGAGATAGTTCCAGTACTCTTACAAAAGTGGTCAGAAAACTGCACATTGAACTTAAAGAGAAGTAGGACTTACTGGTATCACTAGAATCGAATCGTTTGGACTTGGAGCACACTATGGAACAGGAGAGATTTAGTGAGGAATATGGTGAAAACAGAGAGATCAGTCAGCTCACCAAAGAAGAAAAAGCAAAAGCCTGGAAGCTGGCAACTAACAATACGAATGAAGGGGCTCTAGGAGCATACAGAATATCTGCCAGAAATCATCCATCAATGAACACCAAGACTTTCAATGCAAAGGCAAAATACTCACAGAACAACACTGAGGACTTCATTGAAGCTAAGCTTGCCAGAGACAAAGAACAAGCTTATCTTTGCCAGGTTGTGTGGGATATACTTCTTAGGAAACGAGATAAAAAACAAAGAGTCAACATTTCCAAGCAGTACGAAGCAGAAGTTACAGCAAAGCAGCAGAGGATCCAGGAGCAGAAGGACAAGCAAAGCAGTCAGTCAGAGTATCTTGAAGAATTAACACTCAAATTGGACAAAGATCGAGTGTGACAGCTCAAGGTGCCTCAGCTAAAGGAACAACTTGACAAATTACAAAGGTTCGACAGAGATATTCCGAAGGAGAAAGACATAGGGAGAAAGGACGAGAGGCTTAAGGTATTACTAGATGCACTTGGTAGATACAAGAATCGTAATGTATAAATTAACTCACTCGTTCAATATAACAAAAAACAAACTACATATTCATATTCGCACAAGAAAACAGCTATATAATATCAATTTTAAATCTTCAAATCCTCTCTATTTAATTAATTATGAGTGTAGTAAGATATATATGCAACACACTATATATATGCACTTGAATCCGTCTGTTTTCACACAAATTTGATATTTTTTTTTCAAAAAAGGCATACATAAGAGTAAATAGTATCTAAACTAGTGAAATATACAAAATTTTAGTCTAGATTTGCTCCGTTGTATTTTCTACATTAAATACAAGGAGGGCGGACACTCTGTTCACCACATTTCGACTGAAAAAGGGAAATTTTCAAAGTCCGCTCGACCGCGTCTCATAACCAAAAAGCGGACCCCCA